AATAATTATTGATTTATCTCCCTTGATGCTGTGGTGCCCCGGCGGCGGTGCCTCCCCGCCGTACCCTCCCCTCCCAGTCATCTCGCGGTGATGGACCGGTCTGATGAATGGGTCGCGCCATGCCCCGCCGCGCTGCCTGGCCCGCTGTGATTGGCCATCGCTGGGGCGGGCCGCGCTAGCCGCGCTCGCATTGGCCGTCGCACTAGTGTCTCCGCGGCGGTGGCTGCTGCGCGCGACGCGCTCGTCCGCGTGAAGCATCAAACGCCCACGCCGCACATTCCTCCGTAAGAAACAGACTGTGAGTGCGAGGTATTTTCTTTCGGCGTTGGCCCGACGGCATTTGCTCGTGCGCTGCAGCCGGTGTGCTCTCTCTCCGAGTTTCTCTCTCTGAGTCTCTCTCCCGCATGCCGATACCGTGTATGAGATGACGCATCCATTAGGGGCGTTCCCCGACTACTGCCAGCTACCGATGTTCCAGTCAGGTGCGATGCAATTTATAGGGGCGCCGGAACAGCCTCCCGCCCAGCTTGTCCCTCCGAGTGCAGCAGAGCTGTGGTCCTATCCCTCCTCCGCAACCGCCCTCGGGATGGCCTCGGTGTTGACGTCGGCGTGCTCGCCGTCGTGATACGTCATCCTCTTGCGATCCTATGGTTGATTTGGAGAATGTTTTTCTGCGGGCGTCTTTATCCCAGTCCAGCTCCCGCGACTGGCGACCTTTCTCCCTCGCACTTCCTTTCTCTCCCGCCCCTCTCTCATGCCTTCTCTTATGGGCCGCAATGTGTCGCTACACGTCGCTTTAACGATCTTTTAATGAAGGGCAGGCGTGTATGGGTGTGGGTGATGAGAGCCCAGTGAAGGTGAGAGAGGGACGAGGGGGAGGGGGGAGGGAGGAGATGGGGGCGGGCACACTTCCGCCGGCAGGAAGCGACGCGCACTCCAAACTGTCGTATTGCAATCTCGAAAACAGGAATTAGTGAGGTTGATACTTGAGGAAATTTGGCATGATTTTTAATGTGCTTGTTAATTACACCTATATTTAATGCAATAGTTTATATAACCCCCATTTATCTAATGGTGCATCTCTGAGCATTTAATCTGATTTTCAACCCTAATCCGTTTTGTTTGTTTTTTTCAGTCGGACATCGTGCACCAGAGCGTGTACGAGCTGGTGCACTCGGAGGACAGGGAGGAGTTGCAGCGACAACTGCTGTGGAACTCGTTCCTGCCGCCCGAGTCCTCCGGGGTGAGCCTGACGGAGGCGCTACAACCCGACAACTCGCACCTGCTCGAGCGGTCCTTCACCGTGCGCTTCAGGTGCCTGCTGGACAACACCTCGGGCTTCCTTGTAAGTATCGTCGTGTCATATCTGGAATGTCACATTCCTCATTAGTTAGTACCAAAGTCAACAATTCCATCAGAACTGTCTGTTGCTATCCATAGCCTGCAGAGTGTTCCTACGACCTTAGAGCTTTTTCTTAGCTGCTATTTGAAAATTATGGTTAGTATTTAACAGTACGGTTTAGGAAATAATGATTGATACTCAACTAAAATTAGAAACGCACACACTCAAATTTGAAAAAGGAAACTAACTAGAAATGTTTTAACAAAGCCTCCTCATCGTCTTTTGATGCCTCTCCGTGCCTCTCCAGGCTTACGATCTCATTTGTAAGTGCATGCAGTTGCGCCTACCGAGATGATTTTTTTTTGTGGGGGGAAGGGGAGAGGGGGGTGTGAGGGCACTTCTACGCAGCGCAGAGGAGATACAACTGGATGAAGCGGAGGCGAGGCGGAGAGACAAATAATGACAATCGGGGTCGATGTTGGACTCTCTAATGCCCGGCCGGTGGGGCCGCTCCCGCTAGCTAGGGGCTCCAGCAGAGATATGGGTGCAGATAGATCATCGCCAGCGGCACCGCCGCACCGGCACCAACGGGCGTGCGGACGACAACGTACACGATTCATGGCCAAATTTTGTGCAGATTCTTGTATACTGGGAAATCAAAGGTGCTTAGTCTTGCCTTTCCAGGGGTGCTAAAGAAATTTTCAGTTTTGTGTCTCTATAAAGACTTCTGACGTTAGAAATTAGTACCTCTGTGGGAGTTTTTGTTTAACGCCCTGAACCTTTAGTCCTTTTTAAAGGTAGCACCTTTATTTTTCTAGTGTATCACAGTCAGGTTAATGAGGCCCCTTGGCCCCTTTTTTTTGTTGTTCTTATTATCCTAAAAATAACTTTTACTTGTTTACAAAAGTGGTCCACCGAAAATCACAGTGTATGATGACTAAAATTGCACATATTACCTGTGATTAAAAAACGATTTTGTGACGATTATTTCTATGAACTCGCCATTAAAAATCATCAGACTGGACATCTCTTATTTATTGTGCAATACTCTGAGTTATTACATGTTTTTTGCTATAAGCATCACACCTGTATTAAACCCTGACTCGGAAGCATAAAGCATAATAGTTTTGTGGAATAAACATCTGTCAAATTATGTGATAAAATTATATATTCACACTAAGTGCAATAGATCTTGCGAATCACATTTATATTTTAATTACATGGAAACATGTTGTTGTTTTTATCACAGCTTCAGTTACGAACGTCGATAGGAGTTATTTGTCTCACTATATGTGTTTTTGAAGGCGTAGAGGTGTTGTGAGCAAGCCTTCGTCCATAGGGGCAAAGCCAATAATTTAATGATAATAATAATAAGATTCCCCACATCCGCAGGCTTGCCCATAGTGACCAGGCAGGCAGGCGCCGCTCATCTCTCTGGCGCCAGCTACACCCACACTGTGCCGCCCTCAATGTGACGCCCCAGAGAGAGAAAGAGACAGAGAGACAGAGACCGAGAGACTCTGAGTGTGTCTGCCGAAATCAGCTGTCCGCCCCGCCCCGCCGCACCCAGCGGACCCGGAGGTCGCACCGGGTCGGCTCCTTTGCTCCGCTCCTACTCCTCCGCTGCCCTCCGCTCTGCTCCGCTGTGCCCGGCCCGGCAGCTGTCAGTCATAACTCGATAATTGAGTAATTGCCCGGCCAGCCCTCCATTACAGGACCTCCTTTGGCCGTCGGGGCGCGCCGCGCGTCCTCACTGGTCATTTGACCCGCGCTCCTTGTAAACAAAAATCTTATTGGAATATTTTTAACACAGAAAAACTAGTGCCTAGAGCTCACATATATGATGAATTGTCCCTATAGATTTGTCTCTAGCATTTCAGATATTTACAAATGGTTTTTGCCGCTGCTGTGCTATACTGACAGTGGATTTGCGATAATAGTAATACAAAATCTTGCAATAACTCCCACTTTGCGATTCCCATTATTTATCGCATCCAGGATGCGATAACTCGTTATTGCAAAATCTTGCAATATAACTGTATATAAAACATAACAATGAATCGCATTATTAGAGCATACCTCTGCGCATCTCTCATCTCTCAACTTTTCTCGATTTTTCTGATTTTTGCCGAATTTTACGCATTTTTACAGATATATACGGAATTTTACTGACGTTTACCTATTTTTACGGATTCTTCAGGGTTTTGACCGATTTTGACCAGTTCTGACCGATTTTGACGGATTCTTAGGGGGTTTTGCCGATTTTCACAGAATTTTACTGATTTCTACGGATTTTACCGATTTTGACCGATTTTGACCGATTTTGACGGATTTTGACCGATTTTGACGGATTTTGAC